AACAGCAAAAAAGTCACAAGTTTTTGAAAGCTGAAGAAATCGGCATTGTTAGAAACAAACAAAATGCGTACTTAACAAGGTTCTCTATGTCACAGATCTAAGCAAAAACTTATTATCAGTCAATGCAATTACGGAAAATAGAGGAAAGGTAACTTTCACTAAAGAAAAAGCCGAAATATGGAAAGATAACGTAAAACTAGTTGGCTATCGAAGTAAAAATGGTTTGAGGACTATAAACTTAAGTCAAGATCCTGAGGGCAGCGCTCTTCTAACACAAGAAAATAAAAAGGCTTTTGAATGGCATCAAAAACTAGGACATTTTGGAAAAGAAAATATGAAAAAATTAGTAACTATATCAAAAGGTATGGAAATAACAAATAAAAGCTTAGATATTTTAAATAACGTATGTGAAACTTGCGTTAAAGCTAAACAGACCAGAATACCTTTCGGTGAGAAAAGAACAAGAGCAAAGAGACCTTTAGAAATTATTCATACAGATATATGTGGACCAATAGACCCTTCCACTTGGGATAAAAAGAAATATATGTTAACTTTTATAGACGATTTTACAAACTTTGTTATGGTCTATCTTATTGAAGGAAAATTTGAAGTATGTGACCTAGTAAAGGAATACGCAAATAAAGTAGAAACAAAATGGAACCTGAAAATTTCAAAATTAAGATGTGACAATGGACGCGAGTATGTCAACAAAGACCTTAAAACCTGGTGTAAACAAAGAGGAACAATCATGGACGTCACAACACCCTATACACCACAGCTTAACGGAAAGGCGGAACGTATGAACAGAACATTAATTGAAAAAACTAGAGCCTTACTCATAGATGCAGGAATAGATAAAAGTTTCTGGGGAGAAGCAATTCACACAGCTGCATATTTAACAAACAGAAGTCCCACCGACGCAGTTCAAGGAACACCGTTTGAAAACTGGATGTCGCAAAAACCAGATTTATCAAAAATTGCATATTTTTGGTGTAACGCTTACACAAGAACATTAACACCACTGAAGAAACTGGATGATAGATGCAGAAAATATATCTTTGTTGGTTATGCTCCAAACGGGTATCGACTGTATGATCAAGAACGAAGAAAAATAATAATTTCAAGAGATGTAACATTTGCTGAAGAAAATAAATTAGAAAATATAACACAAAACAAATCAGTAAGAATAAATACAAATATAGAAGAAGATCGGAATGAAGAACAAGAAGAAATTAGAGATGATCTAGAAAACACATCTGAAAGTGAAGAAGGTTTTTCTGGTCAGTATCAAGATACAAATAAAGAATCACAAAATGAAGAAGAAGAAGAACAAGAACACGAAATTGAAGAAGAATTCGGTCGTGGAAAACGGATAAAGAAAACTCCAAGCAAATTTAAAGATTATGTATTTTTAACATACGAAGAAGCAATAACAGGATCAGACAAGGAAAAATGGAAAAAGGCTATAGAAGAAGAGAGAAAGTCATTGGAAGAAAACAACACATGGAAGACTGTAGACAGAACTGAAGCAAAGAACAAAAAGATCTTAAGTAATAAATGGGTTTTTAAGATAAAGGACGACGGAAGATATAAGGCGCGGTTGGTGGTGCGGGGATGCGAACAACGCTACGGTATAGATTTTGAAGAAACTTTTAGTCCGGTAGTAAATAGCAACTCTATGAGAACACTACTTGCAATTGCTACAAAAAGAGAAGACTATATTATAAAGTTTGATATAAAAACCGCATTCTTATATGGAAATCTAGATGAGGAAATCTTCATGGAACTTCCGAACGGATATAAAAGTGATAATAAGATATGTAAACTCAACAAGGCTTTATACGGGCTCAAACAAGCTCCTTTAAAATGGAACCAGCGTTTTACTACTTTTCTTAAAACTAAAGGATTAAAACCAACAAGAACAGAACCATGTATATACAAGACTGATGATAACTCCTTAATATTGGCTATCTATGTGGATGACGGACTTATCATAGGACAAAACAAATTAGTCATTAACAGACTTCTAAGTAATTTAGGTAAGGAATTTCAAATAACTATATTTAAAAATATAAAATCTTTTTTAGGTATAGAAATACAACAAGGTAAAGGATATCTCAAGTTAGAACAATCAAGTTATGCAGAACACATGATAAAGACGTTTAATATGGAAAATTCAAAACCCGTAAATACTCCTATATTAACAAATGATGACGGAGAAAAGGAAATGAACAAGGTTTTTCCATATCGAGAAAGCGTTGGAAGCATCTTATATTTAGCCAGTAAAACAAGACCCGACTTAGCTTACGCTGTAGGATATGCGAGCAGACACTTAGAAAAACCATCCACACAAGATGTAGCAAATGTAAAGAGAATATTCAGATATATAAATGCAACTAAGAATTTAGGTATTAGATACAATGTGAATAACAATAAAGATGAGGAAGAATTAATAGGTTATTCAGACTCTGATTATGCAGGAGACATAGAGACTCGGAAAAGTACGACCGGTTTTGTAATTATGTACTCAGGCGGTCCTATAAGTTGGTGCTCTAAGAAGCAGTCTATAATAGCGTTATCAAGTACCGAAGCGGAGTACATTGCGGCAACAGAATGTTGCAAGGAAATTTTGTATCTTAAATTTCTAATTGAGGAATTGACAGGTAAACCAATTAAAGCAACTTTGAATATTGACAATCAAAGTACCATTTGTTTAATTAAAAATAGTATAGGAAACAAAAGAAGTAAACATATTGATGTCAGATATAGATTTATAAACGAAAAAGTCGCTGATGGACTAATAGAGATAAAATATTGTTCCACTAATATGCAGCTTGCAGATATATTTACTAAAGCGCTAGGACAAATTAAGTTTGAGACTCACAAAAGTAAATTAGTAAACTAAGTTAGATTTAGATGTAAGATTTATATATGTTACAAATTAGTTGTAAGATTCATATACAATAATTTAACAATTAAGGGAAGGTGTAGAGAATAATTGTTTTATGTTTGGCGCCAGTGTCTGTAGAGTGCGTGCGCTACTGTTGCGTGACTAATGAAAATGCGCTTCTTCTGTTCAGTTAAGACTGTAATCGAAAAGAATCCTACCGCGTATTGTCTTTTCACAATAAACTTTATATTAACTACAGAGAATTGATATTGTGTTTCAAGAACCTCTGGCTATAGTACAAAAAGTAATATATAACAGTTGATTTAGACAAGGAGCAGTTGAAAAGAGCATGCTCGCGCTTCAGGCAAAGGATTGAAGCAGTGATCGCAGCAAACGGGGGTTATATAGAATAATTGTACTCAGAGAGGATCCCTTAAGCAACGTACAAAAAAATATTTCATAATTTCAAGTTTTTTCTGAGTCTAAAGAGTGTTTTAATAAACAATTTGTTTTGTCCGGATTTAGCTGACGCACCCTGTATACTATAACTCCATCTAAAAAGATACTTTAAATATTTTCTGTAAAACGCAAAAGTAATAAAAAAATACCTGCACTAAAAATACCTGTTCTAAAAATATGAACTGTCAAAGTATGCAATTTCCGCAATGACAACCGCTCGATAGCACGAAGTAACGTATGTATTACATACAACGCGCATCGAAATAAACAATCCGCGAGTTATCGACTTTATGTATCTTTTTTAAGATAGGATAATTACAGACTGACAGACTACAGGAGAAGTATTGGAAATAGAGGAACAAAAAAAAAAGAAAGAATGACGGATGTAAATACCCTAACAAACCAACAATAACATAACATCAATGTTATAATTTCCCACTCAACAACGTTATTGCAATATAACATATCTTGTACGTAACTATTATATTGTTGAGTGGGAAATTATAACATTGATATTATGTTACTAATATTGGTTAGTATTTACTGGGACAGTAGAAAAAGAAATAAAAAAAGAAAAGAGAAGATGCGCTTTAGTTAGATAATTAAATTTGGGATTGTTTCTTGAAGATTAAGTACCTTGTCAATGTTTCTCTTGCGTCGTTGAAGTGATCGAAGTGGAGAATACATGTCCGTAGGCACGTAACTCGTTTTCAAATCGAGTAATAAGAGTCGATCCTCTTCAGTTTTTTCTGCTGCATGCTCTACATCGTTGCGACTAGTAACTAATGATATAAAATTAATCATTAACAAATATTCTTAAGGAACTGTACTACAGTTTAAGATTTTTTTATCTATGATCTGCGAGAGAAACATCAATGTGATTGCAATTGAGCACTGTAATTGTTTTTTTTTTTTTTTTTCTTTTACGATGCAGTTTTACACGACTATGTTTTATTTAATTGACATTTCTAATAAATTTTTTAGTTTTAACCAACAAACTTATTAATTTTTAATTATTAATTATAAATTTTTAATTAATAATTTAATTATTAATGTAAAACAGAATGCCGTTTATTTATTGGAATAAATTTAATCATAAATTTAATTAATTATAAATGAAATAAAATATAAAATAAATGAAATTTACTATAATTAAAATAGCAATGTCCCATACAGCACAAAACATTGCATTTACATTGCAGCAATGTTACAATCTTGCAAGTTGCAATGTAATATTGTTGAGAGATGATTGGAACATTGAATTGTAATATTTCATGAGAATGTGACAGCAACATTGCAAAAACATTACAAGAGCAATATTCGGTAATCGCTACCCAGCAAGAAATACAAATCGAAGAAACGTCTAATAGACATCTAATAGAGGTTTCTTCGACCTGTATTTCTCCCTGGGTGGTTCGTTCGTTTACCGTTATGCGACGCGCGTTGCAAACTCTATCTCGTATTTAAGTTTTAGTCATGATAATATAAAACTTCCAAAGAGTGGCTAGTAAGATTAAAGACATAGTAACTATTTTTATCAGTTAAATTTTTCTGATACGACCTTAACACAGGGAATTCAGATATTGAACTGATTGTTCAGAAATCGGACAGATAAATGTCCGAATAAATAAAAATATATGCAACATTATTCTGAGATTGCAATGACAATGCATTATTGCAAATTTATTATATTGCAATATTACTGTAATATTTCGTTACAATCTTCCTAAAGACGGACATTTTAACGTTGCTGCAATCCCACAGCAATGATGCAACAACATTTTGCAGTGAATTTGCAATATTACAACATTGCAATGAAAGATTGATGCAATGTGTATGCAATCTTTGTGTGTTGTATGGGGTTATATATACCGTAAAAAAACTCGATAAATTTACACAAATAACCCACACAGCATGCATGTATATCCGGGGGACGTTCGGGAGACATTTCGAAGATATCGTATCTCTCAAAGATATCTTCAGGATGTCTTCTGGATGTCTTTTAGATATGTGTGCTGTGTGAGAAGGTGTAGACATTACATGATAAATACTGAAAATATACTAAATAAATATTGTAGATTTACATAATTTTACATTATATTTACATATTTAGTACATTTCTGTTATTCATGTACATTCATGTTATTTTTATATGTTGTTTACAAATTCACCACATTTTTTTACAGTGTACATAAGTTTCAAATATTAATGAAAATGTTTAATTCTCAACTATATACTCGGTAGTTAAACTCACCCTCAAAGATGTTATCCTCAAACGCGTGTGAATCGGAAATTTTAGTTGTGGTTTGAAATTGCGATAAAACGATAAATATTATAGTAATTGGCAACAGCAGGGCAGGTATCAGGAGCATTAATTTAATACGAAAGCGCCATGTTTTATTTGCACCAGTACACCATCTGCATTTTGTAAAACACATATACTCTCATTATAATAAAAATTAAAAATTTATTTTGAAATGTATAAGAAGCAAACAATATAGAACTTGATACATACTTGAGTCTACCAGTTTCCTTATTAATGGCTAATCTGCACGACGGGCATGGTCCATCACTGAAGAAGTCATCGTCGTTGAATTGATTTAAACTGCTACCACTTTGCATTTTTTCTGAAAACAATAATACACATGTCACACCCGCATGTACTGTTGCGTCCCTGTATTTCATCTCTTTGAGAGCAGAAGATTCGTCTCTAGAGAGACGCTTGTTTGTAAACAAACATAGTCTGTCAATCTTATAGAAAGAGCAGAAGATTCGTCTCAAAATGTTATGTTCCCGTAGAACGATAAGGATCGGCCGATCAATTCCAATAATGTTCACTCACTCGAAGGACTCACTCACACGAAATAAAGAACACTTCTTAACGAAATGAGAACTTTAATAGAACTTATTTACAATATTTGCAACCGAAAACGATTAATACAAGAGAGCTGTCAATACGCGTCCGCACAATTTGACAGCTCCTCCGAAACTGACAGACTACGTTTGTTTACAGAACAAGCGTCTCCTTGGGAACGAATCTTCTGCTCTTTCTATAAGACTGACAGACTACGTTTGTTTACAAACAAGCGTCTTCCTAAAGACGAATCTTCTGCTCTCAAAGAGATGAAATACAGGGACGCAACAAACAAACTTAATGTGATACAATTTCATATATTATTCATTGACACTAATATATTTAATAGTATATTTTTCTTCTTTCTTAATAAACTAATTTTATAATTTACTTTTTAATTAATTTGTAAAAGACACAGAAGTATAAAAAGATTAAAATTGATACGTTTACTATAATATGTTCAAACTTGAAAGCGTAGCTAAAACATGTTTAGAGAAATAGTATCCCACACAGCATACATATCCAAAAGATATCCAGAAGACATCCTGAAGATATCTTTGAGAGATACGATATCTTCGGAATGTCCCTCGAACATCCCCCGGATATAAGTACATGCTGTGTGGGATGCATCTTAAGAACAATTTTTCTTTCATAAATTTTAGGAATTTTCAAGAGAAAAGCAAAAAAAGATAAATGCCAAAACAGATAATAAAGCAAAAAAAGTAAATATCAAATGTAAAAAATCGCTAAAATCATGATTATTACGAATTATAAAAATTATGAATTATTAATTTTAACTTACCCAGCGAGAAATGACTCATCGAATTGACGTCGAATCGACATCAATATGATGTAATATCGATGACTTTGATGTCGATTTGATGTCGATTTGACATCGATTGATAGGTCATTTCTCGCTGGGTACATGTAAGTGAGAAGATAATGAATGTGTTAAAAAATATATAATATTATACTTGAATTAATTTTTATGTTATAATTCATACCAGTGGATACTCAGGATACTCAGGATTATTTTTTCGGGGGGGGGGGGAGGGGGTTAAAATTCACACACAAAATGACACAGTATGACCAAAAGTCAGGATAATTTTATATTGAACACTAAAAAATATAAAAATGTTACATTGTGTTTAATAAGAAATACAATTTATTTTTATAATAGCATAATTAT